CTGTAGTCACCACAGGGGCGCCAGTCACCGGACTTCTTCGGCACCATGTGTAATGGTGATGCCCATGGACTTTTAGACGGGCGGATGATTCCCAGTTCGAGCATTTGCTCGAATTCCGCCTTCGCAGCTTTGAGCTTGTCCGGGGCTAGTCGGCGAGGGCGGGCCGAAACAGGTGGGCCCTTAGTGCAAATGTGATGCGTGACGTTTGACGTCACCGGAGGCAACTCGTTCAGGACGCGAACGAGTTTAGGGTGCTTGCTGAAAAGTTCTAGAAAAGACTGTGAAGCTTGAGGTAGGACACGAATGGGAGTGATAGCAGCCACGTTGGCGCTAGTCCCGATAACACTGAGCTGTGTCCTAGAATCGATAAGCTTCTTCCGTTTAGCGTCGACGATGAGGTCGAAGCGTTGAAGAAAGTCTATGCCTATGATGGCGAAAGGCACAGCAGCGATTATGAAAGGCCAGCGAAAGGTTCGCCGGAGGCCTAAATTGAGCGTTAGCAGCTTTTCGCCGAAAGTTGCGATTGGTGTGCCATTGGCGGCACGCAGCTTGGTCGGCGATGGTGAGACGACCTCATCTGAGCTACGGGGTATGACGCTAACTTCGGCACCAGTGTCGACTAGAAACTCGATGCCGGAAGTTAAATCCCTAACACGGATGAGGCGACTTTGGTGTTGGCCGGTCGCGTCCGTCGCCGTTACCGACCGGCCGCGAAGTTTTCCCTGCTTCTCGGCGAAGTTGCAAGGCTTTACACATTTATGAGCTGCGGTACCAAAGCGCTGATGATACCAACAGCTAACTTGCCTGTTGCTAGACCGAGAACGTTTGGAGGGCGATTTTGAGCGGCTAGGACGATGACGGGTCATAGTAAGCTGTTGCACCTGGCGACTAAGTGTCGCAACTTGTGCTTGCAGGGCTTCTATGGTTGACTGTAAGCCAGTGATAGAAGTGCCCTGGGACGCGACGGCATGGACCTTGCTGGCGTTGGCCTGTGGCTGTGATCGTTCAATAACTCGATCCGCTAAGTCTGCTAGTTGAGTGAGCGGAACGGAGCTCACTGTAGCGAGAATCGCTTGTGTGTTTTCCGGTAGCCGTTGTAGCCATAGTTCACGAAGTAAAGTCTCATCCATGGTTGAAGAACCAAGGAGTTGCTGCATCTCTCGTAGCAGGGTTGAGGGCAGTTTGTCGCCCAGCTGCAGATCTCTGAAAAGCTGTTGAAGGCGAACTTTCTCAGAGGGCATAACACGCTTAATCGTGGCCTCTTTGAGAGCCTCATAGCGGTTTTCGGTCTGAGAAATGATGACGTCACGAACCTGCGTTGATATCTCCTTGGGGAGATAGGACAGGAGCTTGCAATACTTCGCGTAGTCGGAAGTGATTTTGTGGTTATAGAACTCGGCCTCAAGAAGAGCGAACCACAAAACAGGATCCATATCCCAAAAAGGTGGAACTGAGAGAGATACAACACTAAGCATAGACTCTACCTTATGGTCTACAGATTCCATGATTTGAAAAAATGACGCGAAAAATAGGCTACCGTATGCAAAAATAAACCGGAAAATATGAAAAATAAATGGAACGAGCTCACCAGAGAAAAGTTCCAAATATCCGGCGCTGAGGTTGATCCGGATTCGGGGTCACCAATTTAGAGGGTTGCCTATTCCGGGAGCCCAGAGAGCGATTCCAGAAGACGGATCAATTTGCAGGGAAACTTTTATTGGTTCAGCAAAAGATTCCCTGTTAGCTAGCTATAAATGAACGACACCGTGGACGCTCTAGCTAGGGGAACAGATCAAGCACAGCACACAGAGCAGTCGCGCGTTGCAACCGAAGCGAGCGCCAAGCAAAAATGGCGATGAGCAAGTAAAGCATTCGAACTCAGCAAGCAGTTCAACAAACCACACCGGTTGCCTAAGTGTACAATTAAAGAATTTTGGTTAGAATTTTC